CAGAGAGTGCTTGAGTTGCCGTTGCTCATCAAGAGAATAATTCGTGAGATGATGGATCCTGAAGCTGCTAAAAATCACCTTTTGAAGCACGCCTTTTTGCAGTCAAGTTCATCCAAAAGTTGGATAAAATTGAATGTTCTACAAAATTTTTGGAAATTTTGATTGTTGTTTTTGTTTGCAGATATTTGCTGGGTGCACTTTACACTGTCAGTCCTTTAATATCTGAAATCTGAAACCGTTGTCAGCACAGTTTCTTGTACACGCGGGCCTCACGTACTACCACCATAGACATATCTCCACTGTCAGTCCTTTAATATCTGAAATCTGAAACCGCTGTCAGCACAGTTTCTTGTACACGCGGGCCTCACGTACTACCACCATAGACATATCTCCACGTGGTAGAAAAGTGAAAAATGAATTGGAGAGTTTGAACCAATTTTTGAGTTGCGCAGTGTTCTAAATCTTTGTTTTTCCTATGCGTCATTTATGTTTCCCGTGATGTTGACCGATGGCTTCTGTTTCTGTAGGACGTCTTGATGCCATAGACGTATTCGATTACTTTGCTATTGCTCTGATCTTTATCCTGTATATTGTTGGCCTCTACTGCAGACGGCAACGCTTGCAACATGTGAGGCAATTGGCTGCTGACCACCCTTGACACAACCTGAATATCAAACACAATCGTGATCTTGTAAATTGATGAGATTTTTTGTTGCAGCCCTTGTAGATTTTCTTTTTCTTCTAAAATTTACCCAAACCAACCCTTAACAACATGTGACTGGCAATTTGGGAGTCATTTGATCATACCCAATTTTTTGAAACAGTTGCTATTCAACATGGATGATGGTGATGTGTATGGATGATCCTGAATTCAATTAAAACATCCATGAGTAGATTTTTTTTTCCTTTTGTTCTTCAAGGAGGAGAAAAGGATTTCATACAGAATCTCTTAATGGAACTACGGTGGCAGGACAATTGAAGCCATATAACTGCAATTTTCAGTGTTATTATGAAATGAGAGGCAAAAGGAAGAATTTTTGTATAGGAATTCCTTTTGCTTAGTGTTGTTTGTGATTTTTTTTTTTTTTTTGGGTTGCTTTGGTCATAAATGGATGTTGTCAAGATCAGAAATCCACAGTGCCTCTTGACAAGAATTTTATGTACTTGCCCAGCTTGGCTCAGGTTTTCATTCTCAATTATGTCTCTGTATTTGATATGTTTCCTTCATTTTTTCCAAATTTGGTAATCCCTTTTTCCCCTTGGTACTGGCAGTTGACAGAAAATGGGTTTTTTTTTTTTTTTTGTTTTTTTTTTTTTTTTTTTTTTTTGGGGATATTATGGACCACTCCAAGAGCATAATAGTTCCTAATGGGTGATTCTTTTCTTGGAGGCAGAATGTGATGAAACAATCTCTTTGTAACTGGAATGATCAAGTTCATGCAAATTTGAGGTTGAATTCGGTGTCACATTAGTTTGGTTTGGGGAAGTCGAAAGCAAGTGTACGACCAACCCTACCTCCGGTAACCCCTCTTCCAAGTGAACCCTTTCTTTGCACCCCTTACCTACCGTCCCTTCCTCTGGTAGTCCTCTATCCTAGGCTACAACCAGCCCCACCTCCAGCAACCCTCTTCCAAGCATCTCCACCCTTCTCCACCACTCCCCTACCTCTAGCAACCCCCCTCCTTCCGGGCGACCACCCAATTCCTCCCCTTCTTTCACTAACCTGTCTCCTCCTAGGCTATGACCAACCCCACCTCCAGACCCCTCTTCCAAGCGTCTCCACCCTCCTCCGCCACTACCCCACCTTTGGCAACCCCCATCATCATTCCACACCATCACCCAACTCCTCCCTTTACTTTTCACATTTTGGCAACCTGAGACCCTTCCTCACCCAGATAGTCTCCTCTCTTCTCTCTCTCTCTCACACACACACAAAATTAAAGGTGAGGCCGCTGAAGGGTGGAGAGGGTTGGGGTGGTGCATGTAGGGTGAATGGAGGGGCGAATGAAGGCAGGAAGCAGCTGCAGGCTAAGGGTGGCGGGATGGGTTGGGACGGGGCGAGTGAGGGTAGGAGGGTTCATCATCAATAATAAATTAGTATATTCCTGCATCAGAACAAAAAATATTTTCTTCCAGCAGTAGTCTCAATCGGATAATTTCTCAGCTAAAAATTAGGTTGGAACATCGCTTGCAATCTTACTTCGTCACTTATAATCTATGACCAATCACGAATCTAGAGCATTGAAGGGTTCCTCATCATCAACAATAAAATAAAAAAATTATATAAATATATATATTTGTCTGGCCGTCTCAAATTGTGTTTCTGACCTTCAATCATCGAACATCCTCATAACACTCTCTCCATTAGGGCCTCCATTGTGAGGGACGGCATCATCGTCATTGAATCCCTCAACTTGTTGCTTGTCGGTAAACCCTGTTTGTACTGTGCGATGGCGAGGTTTGTGGGGCAATCCCCTATCTGATTGAAAGTCTCCCAATACCGACTGTTGTAAGATTTCAACGTTTCCTTCTTGCCCATGTCAATGGAGAGTAGCTGGTGTATCTCCACCGGCGTCTTGGTATTCGTTCTGAATCTAGTCACAAATGCCTCTGCCAACTGCGCCCATGAAGCTATGCTACCTTCTGGCAACCTTTCAAACCATGTTAAACCCAGGTCACCAAGGCTAAAAGGAAACAAGATACACATTAGGGTCTTGTTCCGTTGATATACAGCCATAACCTGGCAAAAGTGGCTGAAGTGTATGTAGGGGTCTTCCCCTCATAAGTAGTGAATTTGGACTGGTGGAAGCCTAAGGATAATGGTGCGTTCTCTATCGCCGGAACGAATGGCGAACTCTGTAACCTTGCTAGCGCTTTGTTAGCTGGTTCATAGGCAAGGTGTGGCTCTGGCTTTCTAACCATGATACTCCCATGCGTCCTAAGTACCAATCGTTGTAGTGTAAAGACTCTGTGGGGGTCGCGCACTCGAGTGTCTTCTCTCCTTTGAGCCCTTTCCTCAAGCACTATCCGTAGGTCCGCTGACCTTGGCAACTCCGTGTGCCTAGACGTCGTTTGGTGCGAGTGTGAGAGCCTGTAACTGCTTCCTTCCGTATAGGACTTTTCAGTCCTCGTTCTCTTAGACTTGGAGTAACGAGTCCTGGAAGTCCTTGATTGTGTATCGCCTGTCCTAAGGCTCCTACTTTCAACTTGTGATGGTGTGACTTGTCTATCACGATCTTCCAAGTGGTAAGAGAGTGTGTTGCCTCTGCGCCCCTCTTCCGTTGCCACTCATTTGCCCTTTATCTGGCGCTTCATAGTCTCTATGTCTGCCGTCATCCTCCTTATTAATTCATCTTGCTCTCTCACGCGATCCTCCAGAACCTGAGGATTCAACCTCCGCCTATGCCTTTCAGGACTTTGGGAGCGACGAGGACTGGAGCCCCGTCTCTCCCGTGTGTCCCTCCGGGAGTTCCGTCGCTGGGGGTTTAACTCTGCCATGAGTGGGATAAAAGGTAAGCCTTCATGTCTCCCGCCCTCCTTCAGGGTTTGTCCATCAATAGTAGATTGCGGCAAATCTTCATTGTGCGCCATTGATTTCAACTAAAGAGGAAAACTCAATCAAAAGGTTTTGTTCTTTGTGTGTTTCCCACAGACGGCGCCAATTGTACAAGCACGAAATAATCTTCTCATATAATCCTGTTGATCAAATTTGCACTCTTCAAAACGTCGTCGCTTTGCTAACTGAAAACACAAACGTGAGCTAGCCGGTGGGTGTGTGCCGGAAACCTCTCCGATGCCTAAGTCAGAAAATAGACAATAGACACAAAAGTTGTGTATTTGAGAGTAAAAATTGTGACTCCTGTACATAGGTCCTGCTATGAGCTTTTATAGATTCCACCTGACACAATCCTAGTAGGACTCCAACTCTCCTAATAAGAGTCCCAGGAATTACACTCCCAGGGATAAAGCCTATCCTGATAACTCCTTACTCACTGCTTATCTAAGTAAGATAGTTGTAACTCTTACCTTGGCTGGCACAAGACATAACCGTGCTTACACAGCTTAGTGCTAATTAAGTCAATTCAGTTAACCTAGTCTTTGGAATGACCCCTTGCCGAGCTATCTTTTAGCTCGGTCTGATTCCGACTGATACCTCGGTCTATGACCGCTAGACCAGGCCATTGGTAGCCCACCTCTGACCGACTGACGCGACCAAGGACCAAGGCTACAGAGTTAATTACCTCGGCCCAAGACTATATCTATCTTAGTCCATTCCAAAAGACTTATTTAGCTCGGCCCAATTTATGCATAAATTACCCTCTCAACTCCGTAGAAAGACATTAACATTGAGAGATAATCTAGAGGACACACAAGAGAGATATTAAAGTAGACTAGGTGTGAGGATCAAGGGAAATCGATGAGAGAGAGAGAGAGAGAGAGAGAGAGAAAAAGAGAGATGTGGAGAACGAACATTGCGATCCCCAAACAAAACTATGTGCGGATAAAGAAGAGTGTTTTCTGACACGACGGATTTGAGTTAGTTAGACCCCACTTTTGCCAGCTCAACCTATCTGTTTATTCTGTTTTTGGTACTTATTTTAATTTTTATATTTTTTTGGGAAGGTATAATGATTTATGGGGTTCCATAAAAAATATATATAAAAAAAAGAAGAAGATAAGATTTAAAGCTTATCTAATCTAATAATTTTTTTAATTTAATGAGGTAGGGTTTAATTTTATTTATTTATTTATTTTTGAAAAAATAGGAAATTAACATTAAGATATAAATGCATTTCAACCGTGACTATCACGAGGGGAAGAGTAAGATTATGTAAAATCAGGTCAAAACCCATGAGTTTGGGTCTGATTAGCCTCTAATCCTGACTTTTAGGATGACGTTTGATTTGAAACCATTTAAGTTTGTTCAATTTTAATTGAGCAAAAATGACTAGGGGTGGACAACGGTTTATCCGATTTACAAAAATCGCCCAATTTGCCCAACCCACATACAAATAGGCGATTTCGCAAACACAATGCAGGTGAATACGGTTTAAAATATGGCATATTTACAAATTGCGGGCGAGTTACGGGTTTAACCCACACCGGCAAAAATCCGCCCACACTTTATTTATTTATTTTATTTTAACCGTTGATTTCATTTCTATATCCTAATATTTTTGCCCAAAACAAAACATCCTTTATTCTTTGAACTTACTCTAGTGTTACAATTACTAATAGTATCATATCAACTAAAACTGAATAAATACTGATTATATTATTATTGTTACGTGACTGAACTTGTACCGGATAAAGTGTGATTTGAAATTTTAAATTCCTTAATAAATATGGAGTTCTAGTTTAGAATTTTAAAATATATGATTGTGTTAGTTTATAATTTGATTTAAGATTTTGAATAATTTGTTTGTGTTACGAATTAATTTTATTGTGTTTTTAATTTTATAAGTTTTAATTCATCAATTATTAATGTTGGAGCATTTTAAAAAATGAAGAGAAAATGACCCAAAATGAATACTTAAAAATGAAAAAAAAAAATAAGGCTCAAAAATAAATTTTTGAAGAAAAAAATCCAATTCACAAACCGTCCACAACCACCCGCATATCCGTGAATCCTATCCGCACAAATCGCAAATTGCACTG